ATACTGTGCACACTGTGTGCATTGAACAACTTCTATTAAATGCTTACAACTACGGAGACTACGACTTACCTGCCGAGATCCCGATCGTGCCGACCCGGACAACGAAGTCTACATACCTGCAGTTGCCTACAAAAATTGCTGCAAAACGAGCAGCGCAGATGGAGAAGTTCTCTATAGCTACCGAGTCTTCATGTAGTTCAGATACAGGGCCAGGTCGCTTGAGACATTGGTCGGCACACCGCTGTCCAGCACCTACTCAATCATGTCTTTGCCCATGTCCTTGTCCTTGCCGTTCTCTTGAAGCTTGCCTCGCACAGACAAGTACAGCTCCACATTCTTCAACATGAGTTGAAGCAGCCGGCTCGATTTTCTTTACGGTAACCACGTCAATCATCCTGCGCGGCGGACTGTTGTCGATGTTTTTGGAGTTGCCACGTTGGCTGCACTCGAAGTCGCCACTCGAATGCCCTTGCTCTCCACACGTGTCATACTTAGTCTTAACCTTGAGTCTGGAGACGTCATCTCTCGTTTGAGATGAGCTTTGGCACTTCTGCCGTTTATGGCGCCCACGCGGCGGTGACGACTGCGGAGATTGTTATTGCGTTTGTTATTGTCTCGAGCTTGGCTATCGCACTTCGGCGTCCTCCACCGTTGTTGCAACCGTTGCCACGATCGCCAACATTTGCAATATCACGTTGAACGGCTCGTCCACAGCCGGCTTCACGTCTTTGCTGCCTTCACCTCGCTGACCACTACATGATCAGCGAGACGAAGGCGCTCTGTTCCCTGCTCCCACGTAATGGAGTCGCGGTGAAAACCGAGACCAAGTCGAAGAACTGAGTGTTGAGTCAGCGACTCCGATTGGTGACCCGGTGCGGACAAGAGAAGACCGCTGCGCCAGCAGCTTCAGTGGGAGATTCCAAGCGAAGGAAGACCCCAAAGAAAAAGAAATAGAAAGAGCAGTGTGGAGATCGAGTCGGAGTCTCGAAAACCAGAGCCTGTCAACGTGACGCTCACGACAACGGCATTTAAGAACCACACAAGGAGCAAAAGTCGTCGCCGAGCGACGCCAGCACTGCTGCATAGCGGCCGAAGCAGGAGCACTAGCGACAGCAATCTGCCCGCTTCATGGACTACGAATTGACGACCGTGGAGGCGCAGTGCGCTAAGAATGTGCAGATTTCTATCAGTCACAAACACGCATTAAGGTCTAAGAAGTGGAAGGAGTGGAAAGGTGCTATGCAAGTCGAGATGGACTCACAGCAGCAACTCGGGGCTTAGATGCATGTGCCGCGCACAGAAGCCAAGGGCAAGCGTGTCATCTCGTGCAAGTGGGTGTATGCACTGAAGAGGGATTGAACCGGCTGGACCAAGCGATGCAAAGCCAGGTTGGTCATCAGAAAATGTTTTACAGCGCATGGGCAGCAGCTACAGTGAAACCTACGCGCCTGTCATCAGGTTTGAGACGATCAGATGCTCGCGCTGCAACGCAGATGGGCTATTTTACAATTGACGTCAAGACCGCGTTCTAGAACAGTAATCTCGACGAAGAGGTCTATATGGAGGAGCCTCCAGGTTTTGGAAAAGCCTCTACGCGCAACGTATGGAAACTAAAGCAGAGTATGTATGGGCTAAAGCAAGCGCCGCGCGTTTGGAACAATGCTTTGCACGGGTTTCTGACGAAGATCGAACTTGAGCGCCTCGACTCTGACTACGAACTTTACGCCACAAAGGTGAGAGGAGAGGTCACCATGTTGCTCACGGTGTACGTTGACGACATCCTACTACTTGACCCAAGTGATCTGTGCGCTTAGGCTCCCAAGCAACATGGTGAGAAGTACGAGCTCACTGCTCTCGGACCTGACTACTCGGCGTGGAGATTTTGATCGATCGCCAGCGGCGACATGCAATCTTCTTCCAGCGGCAGTACATTTAAGAGGTGCTGAAGCAATTTCATATGGAAGGATGCAATGTGATTGCTACGCCGGAGGCACTGCGCGCTGAGGTGTCCAAGCCCGTCCAAGATGATACGCCGCCCATGTACCGAGAACTCGTTGGTGCATTACAGTATCTAGTCTCAGCCTCAAGACCGGACATTGCGCACGCTGTGCGTCATCTCAGCAGGTACCTGTCCTGTTTCGACCACACACACTTTGTGTAACGGGGTAACACTAAAGTGGCTACACATAGCCACTTGGTTACGAAAGAGGTTTTCCACATGGGTGTGAGATAGATCAATGGTAACATGTGGAAAACTGTACATTCAATGCATTCAGTGGTTGCAAGTCAATATCTTCAACCAATTAGAATAGTAGGAATCTGTCGGCCCTTCGTTGACAAATACCTTTCATTTAGAATATTAGATTAGGAGGAAACCCAACAAAGTAAAAGTTCTTAATTTACCGGAAATCGGCGTTGCTTTCCTATTTAGGTAAATCTATACTTTCGGACGAAAAAAATGTTAATCTAAGTGAAACGCAACTTACGCTTCCTCATACACGTGCGCTAACGTGTAAACCGAAGTAGTGAGCTTAAAGAAGGCCCATTTCACTTTGTTATGGCTAAACAAGTCCTACGCTACCTTGCTGGTACCGACAAGTATAGCTTAGTGATAAACATTGTTGCCGGGAACAACGTTGAGCTGACGTGTTAAACCAATGCTGACTACGCGAATGACCCTAATGACCGAAATAGTGTGAGCGGGTTTGTGACGCTCGTCAATCGCACTGTAGTCTCGTACGGATCAAGAAAGCAAGAGATATACGCACAGAGAACAACGGAAGCAGAGTATATTGCACTGAATGAAGGAAGCAGAGACCTACAATGGCTAATGGGACTCTGTGAGGAGCTACGCTGGGCGTTTGCGACGCCGGAGATCTGCGGCGATAACCGGTCGTGCATCTACCTGACTGTCAAGCCTGGCAAACACAGCAATAGCAAGCACATCTCGAGCAAGTTTCATCTGGCGTGCCACCTGGTGGAGAACGAGCGGTTACGAATTCGCCATGTTGGTACCGACGATATGATTACCGACGCGATGACGAAGCCGTTGCCGAAGAAGTAACTCGGCTGTTGTTGACACGGAATGAAGGTGCTGCACATCGCCCGTCAACACAGCTCAGCCCATCCTGTGGGAGCCAAGCATCATCGACGCGCGTGAGGTGACCGATACCTACTACTCTGCGTTTATGCAAGCAAGAAGGAGAAGAAGAAGCGACGCCAGGTATTATCGCTGATGTGCGGTGTGACGGTGCCAAGGCCATCGCGGTGATCTCTAAGGAGATCATGTTGAAGATGATCTTCAACATAATCAAGTGGGAGTGTCGAGTGGAGAGGAAGTGCCAGGGCTGCGCTCCAGCACCACTTGCTGCGCAGGTGCCTCCAGGACGAGCTGCGCACGTTCTGAGCCGCACTTCTACGGATCGCAGGCTAGTAAACTGCGTGCCTCATCCTACTTCTAATCCTACAACACACTACGGGTCTGGCCGTCGGTACTGCTGCTCACTCGTCAGCTTGCGTAGCGCGCAGAAAGCAGCATCGTCGCGGCACTTCGCCCTGCTGGATTTTCGTCCCTGCCCATTACAGTGTTACACAAGTATGCTCTTACATAATAACTGCACGCAACAGGCGTGGAGAGACCGTCACTTAATGGGGACCCTCTTGCCCTTCCAGACGACACGTTACCATTACCGTTTACCGATGCATGAAGCGTTGCCGTTGCGCTCTGCTCTGAGCTTGCAGTGTGTGGAAACCTGTCGTCTGTAATGTTTCCGCTTGAGGTATGGTAGGCTGAACGATTTTTAAGGCCATTCGGCGAGGGCGATTATAATAATCTATCGAGCAATCAAGTTGTGCGTAGAACGCACAATATCAGTGAGATTGTCGTATACATGAACAAATCAACACGCCAAGATTAAGAGCCCGATACCGACCTATTAGAATTCTTTGGATCCTGGAACAGAGGGCATCAATAGTAGTTTCTGGACTAAGTCACGTTAGCAAAACCTGTCAGAAGGAGGGTCAAGTCCGATGGTGCAAGTGAAACAAATGTTCAGCTGGCAAGAGCGCGAGTGACAAATCCAGCAATACGAACTGCGGGCGCGTTGCGGACTGGGGTATACACAAAATTGTAAGGGGCGTGAAATCTGCGTATGGGCGCGCATAGTGACCTCTCAGCCTGTGCAGCCTGCATACTCATCGATAGAGGGACCAAGCGACGGCCAGCAACCCGATTAGACAAAGTACAGCACGGACGAGAGCTTTGGGCTGCGATTGCAGACGTCAACCAGCCGTGAGGAAGGGAAGAAGAGGGGCTGCAGCTGTGAGCTTGCGTCTCAAAAACAGCACCCAGCGATTGACGTGACATCAAGCGCTCGTGTTGGGGCTGCTTGCCTGGACGATCAGCGTTAAGAAGAGCTCGTACACTTCTAACGGCATCCGGTGCGGGGCGCTCGTGGCGATAGCCAATGCGCTAATGTAATGTACAGTGGTGCAAGTGCAGTACTGTAGAAGACAAGACACTCTTATCGAGGCGTGTGTTTCCGACCATCGGACAAGCTATATTCATCCACACACTCGTTTTGGTTAAGACTAAATCCGTATTGGTCTAGACTAATTTTTAGAATTTCTTTTAAAAAAATGATTTTCTAAATAAGGGACACTCCGTTTTAGTTTACATAATAATTGGCAAAGGTGTAGTAATCTATCCGTCATTTGCTTAAGTATTCAGGTATTATCCAGAATGAATTTGCTCCAAAGGCTGCTATTCCAGCAAATAGGTTTCTATTACTACCCCACGAATTCTAGTTGAAACAGCATATGCTCTACTAGTAGAATAAGACAGCGTGTATTTACTACAGCAACTGAAGTAATTATGCTACTGATAGTACTAGTCATAAGCACTTTTCTCTTTTTCTAACGTCAAGACATGATGAAAACGAATTCGATACCCATACTATCTGGGAACAGTTTTCAATTTGCCCACTATCACGATAACTCGTTTAGCTAACATTTAGGCGAGCATGGAGAATAAGCTGACCGCCTTCAGACGACCGCGGAATCCACATCAAAAGCGAACCACCTCCTGTTCCGGGCAGACCAAAGAGGCCCGGACGCCAGCGACCCAGATACAGCGTCTTGTCCTGCAGCTCTTTCACCGTAGACGTCCACGTGACCTTGCCGCCAGCGGGCACTTTGACCTCCTTGATCTTGTCATCACCGGACTTGATCACCACGGACACAGGTTACTTATCAACACTCTCGAAGTAAATCGTGACGGAGCCGTCCCCCTTCCTCTTCCACACACCGTAGCTTCCCAGGAATGCCTGATCGACGGTGTTGAGACCCAGAGCGTCGTACAGAGTACCGATGTCGATCTCACCCAGGTACTCAGTGGGGCCACAGATGGGCTGAACAAACTCGGACGCCATCCAGGCAATGCCCGTCGGATCGAAAATGGACAGGACGAACAGCCCCACATTCGAGTATTCGAGTGCCTTCTCCTTCTTGGTCACATGCTTGCCCATATCGGTCGTACCGTCCTCGATCAACTGGTCCACAATCACCCCGATCGTCTTGCGCAGCAGATTGCGTGTTTTGTACGCAGCCGCACCAGTTTTGTTCTCCCAGATCTCACCCATACAGTGGTTGGTGATAACAGGGATATCATCTCTGATGATAGATGACTTGCTGTAGTAGGTCGCAGTAGTGAATACAAGACGGTCGAAGGAAGCTGGCACTTCCTTAAACTATAGCCGATTGTATTGCTTGTGTCTTGGTAAAATGTAAAGTGAGATAGAAACATGCATGCAATCCAAAGCTCTACATAGCTATCACCAGCGTCCCAGTGATAGCCCAGCCTCTAGCAAGGACTCCCTAACTAGAACCTTCACCAGCTTGAGATGACGAGCTGCAACTTGCAGTTGTAAACTGCAACAACCTGGCACGCTGGTGGCTGACTGCAACCACATGCTGGTTGTCCAGCTTGCTCGTCACTCTCGACTGTATAGTGTGGTCGTGGTTGGGCTTTCAAGCCGCCACCCACTACAGTCCCCTTTCAAGCCCAACCTGACCACTCGGGCAAATTGTGCTTGTACTCATTTTATTACAGAATAATTACCGCTCGGTAATACGCTGTCTCATCATGAATAACCATGTGACTAGTCATATGACTAATCACGCGGTCTGCTTTATGTGACCAACTTCAACATATTGCAGTTGAAGTCTTCCTTGCCATGCAAATCCAACTGAAAATGACCAAAACAACCACAATACCAAGGATAAACCTCAATTCAGTGAAAGTATAGTCGTTATACTGAGGGGTATACCGGTATACACGTAAAGCTTTAGCGCCGCTTTTTTGGCGCTTCTAGTGCTTTGAGGTGGCGCTCAAGCTTTGAGGCTTTGGCTGTAGCAACATATCCTTGCACTAACGTACTCACGTCCTTGTGCAGTGATACTAGAGGCTCCCACGAGTCCTCTATTGTCTCTAGCCCATGCCACCCAACTAGGATTTCGTAGGACCGGCTCCGGTCGTTCCAGCGGTGTCGACGTAGCTCACGCACACGAAGGATGATGCCCTGAGCGGCCACGTGCTCCAACAGCTCTTCGGTCACCTCCAAATCCTTATCGGCGAAAAACTTGAGCCTCGAGGCGTGCACATCAAGTTCCGAGCCTGATACAAGGTGCTTCACCTTGAACACATCGTAGGGTAGAGCTGCAGTAACTGCGTAGGGGCCGATCCATGTAACGAGCAGTTTGATCTGGCCTTTCTCGTCCACACGAGAACGCAGTACATAGTCACCTACGTTGAAGTTGATGATGTTATCACCTCGCTCCTTTTTCTTGTTCAGTAAAGTCTGCTTGAGACGGGCGTCTTCAACTGCCTTGTGCATCTCCCGAATACTAACTCTTAGTTCATTCAGGCTCGACTCGATCTCGGCTGAGGTTCGAGCTGGCTGTACACTGGGATCCACCTCTGGTCCCAGGTATACCGCCTGTAGTGGTGATGGGGGCTCCAAGCCGGTAAACAATTCACCAGGCGTCTTGCCTGCCAGTGACGGCACGGCAGTATGATTTAGGCTAGCTTGCACGATAGGTATTAATCTTGGCCAGTCTCTATGGTTGAGCTTGTAGTCCAGGATGAGAGCTCGTAAAACTTGAAGAATATCTCTGTTCACTCGTTCTACTGACCCGTTGATCCATGGGCTGTAAGTAGGCGAAAAAATCTGCTTGCACTTTAGTCTGGTACACAGCTCCTCGATCACTTCGTTCTTGAAGTGTGTACCTTGGTCGCTGATCCAGTCGTTAGGGATCCCAAATCTACTGTGCCAATCCATGATTGCATCTGCAGCAATCGTACTTGTAGGGGTTTCACACTTCACGAGTTCACAATAGTGACTAGCGTCATCTTTTAGTACCAATAGATACTGCATGTCACCATAAGCTTCCTCTAAATACAGAAAATCCCAGTGCAACGCTTGGTTTCTTTCATTGCAGTGGTATGTTTCACTCCAGGGCCTCGGCACTACCTTCCCTCCCTTCACGTGATGGCAGAGGAGGCAGCTTGCCAAGAATCTCTCAACACACTGACGAAGTTGCGGTACGTGGAAGAGTCGGCCGATATGTGCCATCATTGCGTCTCGACCTCTGTGTCCCTGCGGGCCGCAGTGTGCGATGATGCACAAGCGTCGACGCAGATCAGTAGCGTTGACTGGTATCCATAGTCTCTCATCCTTGTGCCAGATGCCATCGGCATCGTCGTTGAGGTCAGTACGTTCTGCAGTCGTCCCAAACCGCCGTTGTGCACTCTCAATAGCCTCTAAGGTAGGCCACACGAAACCGGTATCATCAAGTGGCCGAAGTATTAAACGCTCGTTCTGTTGCTGCCGGCGAGTACTCACTCTCTTTACACGAGTCGTAGTTGGCATTCGAGCCCACCTTGAAACCATGTCAGCCCAAACGTTATCTTCGCCAGCAATGTGATGGATTTCGTATCTGAACTCACCGAGCTTCATAGCCCACCGCAATAGTTTCCCTCGAATATGTTTTTTACCGTAGCATCAGGGGCGAAAACGTGAATCAGATTCTTGTGATCGCAGTATAATCGAAATCCCGCAGGTCGGAGAAGCAGGTACGGCAACTTGTCACAAGCTGCCACAATTGCAAATGCTTCTTTTTCGATCACACTCCAATTTGCTTGCGATCCCGAGAAAGTCCCACTCAGACAGTGTAAGAGTTGGTGACGCTGTTCGTTAACAGGTTTTCGGGTCTCCCAATCATGCACGTCGGTCACAATCACGCTCCAGGCCGTGTCCGAGGCGTCAGTGAACACTGAAAGCTGACCATCGGCACTGGGGTGAGCCAACTTAGCCGCAGAGGCCAAACAGTCCTTTACTTGATCAAAAGCAGCTTTTTCCGCATCGTTGAGAGTCACTGGTATCCGGGCTGCAGCTCGTTTTGTCCGTTTTCCACCTTTCAGAGTTTCATCGAGCCACTTCTGGAGAGTTCTAACATGGCCCGCATAGTTAATCAGACTATCTCTCATCCAGTTACAGGCACAGAGAAATTGTTGCAATTCTCCGGCGGTGGTGGGCAGTGGCATCTCACGTAGTGCAGCGATGCGTTCCGGGTCGTGTCGTACACCTTCACCGTCAATTATCTTCCCGCACCACTTCACAGAGCGCTGAAAGAGACTTGACTTCGCTGCACTAAGCTTCAGGCCAAATTTATTCATCAAATTGAAAAGCTCTTCTAATTTATCCAGATGAAGCACATACGAGCAAGAGTAGCAGACCTCCGCACTAAATTTCAGGAGATCATCAATCCAGATAAGCAAGTGCTTATGGAGTAATTTCTCGAAACACTTCTCCATAGTCATCTGAAAATGAAGTGCTGCATCACTACAGCCTTGAGGAACTCTGGTTGGCGTAAATACTTTTGCATCAGTCATGTAGCTTAAGATTTCTTGACATGCTTTGGCTAATGGCAACTGCCAAAAGCCTTTTATAAAGTCAAAAAGTCCAAAGTACTTCATGTCGCGAACATGCTCAGTAATAACCTGTAGAATAGGCATGACGCCAGCGATTGGCTCGGTTTCAGCATTGGCGGGCCGGTAGTCGCTGGTTTGACGGTATTCGTCCTTGCCTGCTTCTTTACAGGCAGCGCCGGGCATGCCCACCGACTTGATGCTTTTCATACACCCAACCAAGTTTAACTAGCTCGTCGCTGAATTCCTGCAAGAATTTGCGAAGGTGCGGCGGATATTGTCTCGGCTTACACCCGGAAAGGTTTTGCTCCCTTTCGTAAGCGTAGTTCTAGTGGAGAGACCTTAGCAGAGAGATCTGGACCCAGTTTCAACCTCCAAACATCGAACATGTACACAATCGTCCGCAATCTGTCCACCTTCTCCAACGGAAATCCATTATCGATGGCCTTCGCGATCATATTCTCCACTGCTCGCCGAACGTCATCGTCCGGAACAACTCCAAACAGGAAATCATCTTCAAAAGGAATTGGATCGTCATTCGTCCATCGCACTCCTTTCCGCCAGTTGCTCCAACTGGCTGTCTATACTGATACCAAGGTCCTTCAAGATGTCCTCACCCAAAATGAATCCATCCTCGTCAGACTCAATCACCAGCACTTCATAGGGCTTCACAGGTCTTACTGGTCCAGCGGCAGTATAAAGCATCACATGCAAGAGTACAGAGTGTTTCGTCACAATCTGGAACTTGCCAACAGTCTCACAGAAAATCGGGCGAGGTAGTATAGTCGTTCTCACAGTACCACCCAACTTCTCCAGTTCTTGCAATTTTTGAGCACTGATTATGCTTCTTTCCGCCCCGGTGTCAGCGCAGTAGGGCATGGACAACCTTCCTTCAACAACAATTGTTTTGTCGTGTCTTAAAAGGCAATCCTTAATGCGCTTTAACCTTCAGGCATCGCTTTCGGCCCAATTCGGGGCCTTATTGCGATCACGGCGGTCGTGCATCATCTTCAGTAGCTCTTTCTTCATGTCTGCAGATGCATCCGGACAGTGTACCAGCCAGTGATCACCCTTGTAGTGCAAGCAACCTCCGGTTGGTGGACTAGAGCCCGTGCCTTTGCCGTTTTTATGCTGTCCATGCTTAGCGTCACCGCCACCAGCCTTCTTACCACCACGCTCAACCCTACGGTACTTCGCCCTTGGCTCGGTATGCTCTTTGGTTCCGTTGGTTTTCTTTGTTCGCTCAAACTGAGTTGAAGGAGGAGAGCGCTTTCGGCGTTGGAAGTCCCGGTCTTGCTCAAAGGCCTTGTCCAGGATGAGTTTAAAAAGCTCTTTTTCACTCTCCTTGGCAATCCTTGCTTGGTATTTGATGGTAGTAGTAATCTCCTCGCGGAGACTGCGGGGCTCGAGAGATTCGACGAGCAGCTTGCACTTTAACCGCTTTCCCTCGTTGCCTGTGAAGAACTCCTGCCAGCCCTGTTCCTCGATGAACTCGCGGCTCTTCGCAAAAAACTGCATCACCCGCTCCCTAACATCGCTTTCTGTCAAATCCATTTTTACATTTTCTTTGAACAGAGTAGCAACATCTGGTACGGTATTGTTTTTGACGGACGATATGATTTCGTCCACCTTGGTGATAATGAACTCGTCGGT